AGGTAAAGGATGGAACAAGCGGGAACGGCTTTAAACTAAAAGAGGGGAAGTTCAAGCTAGATGTTAGATAGAAATTCTGTACTCAGAGGGCAGTGAGGCAGTGGCACAGCTGCCCAGAGCTGTGGGTGCCCATCCTGGAGGTGCTCATGGCCATGGATGGGGCCCTGGGCAGCCTGAGCTGGTGGGGGCAGCCAGCCCATGGCACGGGGTTGGAGCTGGGTGGGCTTTGAGGTACCTTCCAATCTAAGCCATTCTATTATAGCTATTGCCATCCTCTTTCTCTGCTCTGCTTTCAAACACCCCACATCTCCACTAAGCCAACATAGGTTGATTCCCCATGGCAGTCCATGGAGTCACATCCCTGCCAGCCCAGAGCAATACAACTTGGGCCTATAGGTTTCACTTGGAAGGAACATCAACAAGAGGTTATGAGGTAAAGAAGGGAAATACCTGTAAATGTACACGGGTAGCTAAAGCAGTCTTCAGAAGAGATACGTAAAAGCACAGACTAACCTACACTGGGCACATCTACACCCTCAGATGCCTGAATACCTTTCAAGAATTTTTATTTTCACATGAGATTCCACTTCCAAAAATAATTAAAGTTTGATTCTAGCCAACAGTTTAAGTACCACAGCACGTAAATGTAAATAATTACAGTTTGGTCAATGCACAGCAGCAACTCTGATCTTTAAAAATGGAAGGACAGCAACTTGGGCAAACAGAAGTAAGTATCATTTTTTCCGTAATTTCACAGATTAATGTGATATATTAGCTAAAGAACAGTGCTATTACGGTACCCTTAGGCTTTAGATCACATCATGCCACATGTTCATTTGGCTGCTAAAGAGCAGCAACCAAATGATTAGCATTTTTTCCAAGGATAGTAGAGATTAATAGTCTGAAGTCATTTCTTTAACTTTACCGTGAAACCGAAACACTGAATTTAGAGCCAACTTTAATAACATTATTTCAGAAAATCCTAAGTTAGTCCTTGAGTGCTGATCAAGAGGTGAACAGGGTCCTCGTTGTTATCTGGATTCGCTGTAATTGGATACAAACCCCAACCAAACTCGAGCATCTTGATAACAGCACAGCTTTAACTAAGGGCATACATATAACTAAAGACACCAGTTCTCTTACTAAAGGAACAGAAGCTGTGAGCAAAGCCACCACCCTACTGAAATCAATAGGTGTTTTTCAGCAATTTCCCGAAATCTCCTTGTGCTTCTAGTTCTAGGTTTAAAGGGCGAGCAAAGAGCTTAACACTGGTTTCTTTTTTGAGCTGTACTAAAGCTCTTCGTTTCCCATCACTCAGCTGTTCCAGCTCTCAGGCAGAGGAGCAGAGGTGACAGGGTAACCCTTCACAGAGCTCAGCAGGCCCCATCTGCTCAGCAGAGATTCCCAGTGTGATATAGGAGGGACAGTGAACAACAAGATAACACCCACAGTAAGAGCCTCACTGCTCTGATCAGAACATACTTTTTCTTTTTTTAAATTTCAAAATCCTTCTTCCCCATTTCCTACATTTCCTAGTGAAAAAGGAGAGGAACTAGGGCATGAGAAAACAGCCAGAGACACCCATGCATACAGGCATGAGTGTCCCTTCCTCTCCCAAGCACAGCAGCATCCCCAGCCTAAACATACACAAAGCAGAATCTCTTCAATGCCCAGATGTGACTAAATTCCAATTACCCCTCGCTTGCATTCATTTACTTTTTAGCAGTGCCTCCCCTCCTCGAGGCCTCTTGTTCCCTCCCCTAACTTCGGGGTTCTCTCGCTGCTCTCCGGCTGTCAGTGCAGGCAGCTCTTCTGACTGCCTGAGGACCCCGGAAAGCCACATCCTGGCTGTTAACCACAACTCAGCTCCTGCAGACTGCATGGACAGCCAAGCTCTTCCTGAGCTGCCCCCAGAAGCGTGCCAGCGGCTCGGCTCACACAGCCTGGGAAGGCTCATTCCACATTCTTTATCTGCAAGGACTCCATTAGTGGCTTCCCGGAATGCAAAGTGTATTTTAAGAAGGAACTGAAAATAAGGGATAATTAAAATGTAAGAAGTGTCATCTTCATAAAAGCCACAGGACTAAATAAAGTCTTGGAGGGCCCTCTCCTGTACATTCCGTATTTCTCTACGTGCACAACACACCTTCCTCTGCAAAACCTTGAGCAAACAAAGGCAGTCCTCTCAGCACCTTGACAGAACAGCTAAAGTAGCGTTTGATTAGTTCATAAGAAAAGCTCTGAGGCTATTTTTTCCTCCAGGCAGAAAATAGTTACTGCAGGATTACCTCTCGACTCGGGAGTATGAAGATTCAAAAATCCAAAACCCATTTACAGACAAGCACCAGGAGGGCGACAATTTCATTCATTAAGACAGAGCTAATCTAGGTTTGTGCATCTTGTCAAAGGAAAAACCAACAATTATCACCCAGAGATGACAGGACTGTCACAGCAACAGCCACAGATGAACAAAGGTGCACTTTTTCCTTTACAAGAAAGTATTTATCTCTCAGCAGAGCACTGAGAAACTACATTAGAAAGGTATCACAGCAAGATTACTATTTACATCTTACTGATTCTTGGTGCCGTGAATTTAGATTAATGAGCAAACAGACCCCATGGAAACCGCCTCTTCTACCTTGTCTTGGTTTGATTTATTAAGCAATGCAATTACCAGTGACAAGCCCACAGAGAAATGCACTGAACTTAGCAGTTCAGGAACAGCAAAACCTTACCTATCTGTGTGCGCAAGGATGCCTCCTTCCTCTGAGTGCAACCAAAGGGACAGCAACACACGCACCTACCTACACAGTGAGCACTGACTGCAATCCTAATGAAAGAATACTGCAAAGGCTTGTTTGGAGAGTGGTTCATTTATTTTTTTGAAGAAAAATTACCCTTTGTGCTTCTTCACAAAGTGAGTTAGAAGGGAGAAAGCAAACAGTGACTTATATTTAAAGAGAGCTGGATACAAAGAAGAGGGAGGAAAGGTGCTTGTTGCTTAGCAGACAAAATAACAACACCTCAGCTCCTCGGGAAGCTGTATGAAAGGAACTGAAACACTTGCAGGAGACATGAAGTGGTTAATAACGGCTGGGATTCCCCGCCAACACAAATTCCAATGATTTGCCATTGGATGCTGTCAGCACCAATGTCCTGTTCCAGTCCACTGAGATCCTCCCTGCAGCTTCCCTGCCTCAGGCATCTCCCATGCATGATCAGAGTCCAGAGCGCATCTACGCCACACACACACTCACACACACACACACACACACACACACACACAGACACCCCAGGAATTGCTGCTTTTCAGAAGAAGGCATGAAAGAGCAGCAGAGTCACTGTGGTCTGACATGATGTTCTCTGGATGAAGAATAAATGCAATCTGCACAACAGCCTACTTCCCAAGCAAACCCTTAGCGATGGACAGCCCTGAGACAGCCCCAAGTATTACACAGCTGTTTTACAGCTCTGGCATTGAAGAGCTCACCTACACACAGCAAACAGCCACAGACCTGCTCCCCCTGATAATCAAACCACAATGCAAATATTAGCAGGCTCAAACGCCGCTGATCAAAATCTGCAAGTCTCACAGTATTGTCACATTAAGCCTACATTGCAGCTTGTTTTCCTCAAGCGTGCCTAGAGCCTGCCTTCTAGATGTAATTACTGTGCAATATATATCAGAACCAGAGAGAAAGGCTTCACTCTGAGGGCTGGAATTGAGAAGAAATCAATACAAAGGAGATAAATGTTTCTTCAAGAGCTGCAGAGGTATTAACCCTCTCTCCAGCTTATTTTCTTCTCGCTTCCAATCATTTTACCATCCGAGAAGCTGCTGGAAAGACCGGGATGTGGCAGCTCTACCTGCTCAGCTCCGCACTTGAGGTTAGAAAGAAATAAAAATGAAGCGTACTTAAAAATTAAAAAAAAAAAAAAGTGGAAGTTGCTGCGACGCTTTGAGAACTGCAGCCTCGCTCCCGCCGGCACACGCGGAGCAGCCCACAGCCGGGCAGCGGCAGCAGCACGCGGGAGGAGCTGCGGGGCCACGACCCACGGCCGGTCCCGTACCGAACACGAACACACGGCGGGGAGCGCAGCCCACCGTGACCTCCATGGGAGGGTGGCGAAGCCGGGAAGAGAATAAAGAAACTACGTGGGGGAGAGAGGCTCGGGGTGGGGTTAAGGCGTTTTCAGGACGACCCTGAGGACTGGGGGCAGCCCGGCGTACGGGTACGCGCCCAGCAGCGCGCGGCGCGGAGCCGAGGGGGCCCGGCGGCTCAGCCCGAAACAGCGCGGCCCCGCGGGGGCAGCGGCGGCGACAGAGCGCCCCTGGTGGGGAGCGGCGGCACCACGGCCCGAGCCGCGAGCTCCCCCGGGCCGGGGGCGCTGCCGGGGCCGCGGATCCCGAAGCGGGGCGCGGAGAGGGAGCGGCGGTCGGGCGGGCGCGGAGCGCGGCCGCCGCGTTTCGGCGGAAGGCGCGGGGGAACAACGAAGAGCCGCCGAGAGCGCGAGGCGGGAACGCGCGGGAAGGCGCTGAGCTCCTCAGCCTGCGGCCCGCATAGCAGATTCCCGCGGGGCGCGCGGTGTCAGCCCCGGCGCGGAGCGGGAGCGCGGCTCCGCAACCCCGCCAAGGTCAGCGCGCGGCGCGAGCGGGGCAGCTCCGCGGACACGAGTGGGGCGGGTTGGGCTGCGCACCGCGCGGAGCGAAGTTTGTGGCAGGGGAGAGGAGGAATCGGGGCGCCGGTCCCGCGGCTCGACGGGAGCCCTCCGGCAGCCCTCCGAGAGCAGGGAATCGCCCGGGGACCCCCCCTCGGGCCGCCCCACGTCGCGGCGACCGCGCTGCCGCGGAGAGGGGAACGCGGCAGCGCGGAGCTCAGCCCCGGCGCTCGCGGGAGCGCTGCCCGCAGCACGGGGAACGCGGCCTCAGGGCTCCCGTCGGCACCGCGGGGGTCGCGGGCACCGGGATTCCCCCCTCACCGCCGGGCGCTCTCACTCACCGGGGAAGCACACCACATCATGGAGCACGGAGCTGGTGATTTTCAAGAAAAAGATCCACCAACACGGTTGCAGTAGCCTCCGCATGTCCAAAGCCGCACATCGAAAGAGGGGAGAGGGGCTAAAACAATTAACGCGCAGGGAAATTAAAAAAATAAAAACTGAAGG